AGAACTCCAAAAATACCAAAAAAATTCCCGCAAAAAAAAACCCAAAACCCACCCAAAATATCCCCCAAAAAACCCCAAAACCAACCTAAAAAAACCCCAAAAATTCCCCCAAAAACCCCAAAATTCACACAAAAAACTCCAAAAATAGAAAGAAAAATTTCACCCCAAAAAACCCAAAACCCACCCAAAATTCCCTTCAAAAATCCCCAAAATTCCCCCCAAAAAAACCCCAAAATTCCTAAAAAAAAACCAAAAAAAACCCAAAAAACCCCAAAATTCCCCCAAAAAATCCAAAATTCTGGTCCATACTGGTCCATACTGGTCCATACTGGTCCATACTGGTCCATACTGGTTTATACTGGTTTATACTGGTTTATACTGGTCTATACTGGTCCATACTGCTCCATACCGGTCCATACTGGTCCATACTGGTCCATACTGGTCCATACTGGTCCATACTGGTTTATACTGGTCTATACTGGTTTATACTGGTTTATACTGGTTTATACTGGTTTATACTGGTTTATACTGGTCCATACTGGTCCATACTGGTCCATACCGGTCCATACTGGTCCATACTGGTCCATACTGGTTTATACCGGTCCATACTGGTCCATACTGGTCCATACCGGTCCATACTGGTTTATACTGGTCCATACTGGTTTATACTGGTTTATACTGGTTTATACTGGTCCATACTGGTTTATACTGGTCCATACTGGTCCATACTGGTCCATACTGGTCCATACTGGTTTATACTGGTCCATACCGGTCCATACTGGTTTATACTGGTCCATACTGGTGCAGGCTGCCTGCTGACCCTGGCTCTGCTTTTGGCCGCGTTGGATCCTCGGGGCGGCGCCCGCGAGATCCGGGAGCACCTGGGGAGCCTGCGGGTAACTGGTTCATACTGGTTTATACTGGTTTGTACTGGTTTGTACTGGTTACCGGTTTATACTGGTTTATACTGGTTTGTACTGGTTTGTACTGGGCAGGCCGCGGACCCGCTGCGCTCCGGCTTCGTGGCCCATGTCCAGTCGCGCTTCGAGGCGGCGCTGGCCGTGCTGGGAGCGGGGCAGGAGCTCAGCCTGGCCAGCAAGGTAACTGGTTTGTACTGGTTTGTACTGGTTTGTACTGGTTTGGGGTCGGGGGTTACTGGTTTGTACTGGGAGGGGGCTGGGAGGGGGTTTGGGGGTGGTGGGAGGGAGTGAAAGGGTTAAAAATGGGGGAAAATGGGGAAAAATGGGGATTTTTTATACTGGTTTGTACTGGTTTGGGGTTTGGGGTTACTGGTTTATACTGGGAGGGGATTGGGGGTTACTGGTTTGTACTGG